AGAATAATTAAACCATTATAATTGTAAGAATAACATAAACAAATTCTGCGTAATAAATGAGAAAATCCATTTGAAATTTTATGTAATTTTATAAGGAAATAATAATTTATTAATTATTATTGACACCAATCTATATTTATACTATTAATAAAAGTAAAATCTTCAATTAAAATGTCTTTCACCCTTCTGATACGAGATTGCCCTTCAAGTTCTAACGAAAACAACTCATGTTGATGCTCGCATATGCCACGACTATCAACAAAAGTCAGGGTCAAACACTAACTCACGTTGAGTTATTACTGAAAAAATCAGTCTTTAATCACGGTTAATTGTATGTGACTTTTTCCCGAGTCACCCATCCTGATGGTTTGGAGATTTAACTCTAGACGAGGATGGATAAAATTGTGTTACTACTACCAATGTTGTCTACAAAGAGATTTTCAATAATGTATAATTCAAGTCATTGATATTATGGTTTTTTATATATAAAGATGACAAAATTGCTATATATCTACATAGAAAATATATCTTCCGTATAAATAATTTCTATAACTGAATTGCTAGACAACGAGCTAATTAGCCCAATTAATACAAATTCTAAACACTGATATATAAAATCTCTAAAGTTGCAGCACCGAATGCGTATATCTACACGTTAGCTATTAATTGGGCAATTATTTACTCAAATTCAAGCATTGATAACATTAGAAAACATAATCGGTGCAACTCAATTCTTCAATTATATTATATAATATTCGATGTTATAATTTATACAATTGTATATCGATCTAAACATTTATAAAATATTATAACAAATTCATTCCGTGCAACACACGGGCGCAAATACTAGTAAAAAAATAATAATAATGTAGAGTGTATATATGGTAACCTAATCATGCCTCTTTAATACTCCGTAGTATAGTTGATAATTTGAGTATTAATTATGGTATAATTAATATTATTAAAGTAAGATTTTTAGATATGATAAATTAATAAATATTGTTATAGTAACATTTAATGAAAATTTAAATAAAATCCAACCTTTTTTTTTTGTAACATAAGGAGGGAATAACCCGGAATGATGCTAATGAGTGGTCGTATTAAATAAAATCCAACTTATTTCTTATATATAATGTTTACATACATTATTAACATAGAATAATATAAGAAAATATATTGTATATGCATGTGCATGGTAATAATAATAACAAATGATAACATAAGTTATAACTATATATGCCAATAGTGGAAAGAAAGGATGAACAACTTTAAACAAAAAACATATGCCAATAACAGCCAAATTATTAATTTTTAGTTTGTTGTCTTAAAATATACATCAAGTGATCATTTAATTTGATTCTTATATTAGTAAGATTACCATGTCATTTAGATTTTATTAACTTAATATTAATCATCATGCCAAAACAGGAGTGCAAAAACAATTCAATAGCTCAATAATGGGATAATTGGGAGCATGAAATTGGGATGTAGAGTTGGGTTAAAAATGTAGGACGACCAACAATGATATAAAAGATATCTAAGTGATATATAACTAATTAAGGCCGTGTTTGGTAAAATAGTTAGCCTATAGGTTAATTTTGACTTATTTGACCACTATTAGTTATTTAACTTGGTTTAAAAATTAATATAAGTGTTTGGTTAATTAGCTTTTTTTACTTCAAAATATTAAAATTCAAAAAGCTACACAAAACAACTTTTTCAATTAGCTTTTTGAGAAAAGAAATTATACCAAACAGCAATCAGCTAACAGCTAATTTACCAAACACCTTTCTACAATCAGTTAACGTTATCAACTAGTTATACCCTCTAATTAACCCAATCAGCTAACAGCCATTTATCAACATGACCTAAATTAATTTTTGTTGAGATTGCACTTTTGTGGCTCTCCTTAAAAAAATATTATAAAATTGAACTTCGGTGATTGGATATTAATTTATAGAGAAAGTATATAGAACGAACTCCGGTAATTTTTTAAATTCAATAAGGCCTTTCAGTCATCACTTCAGTTCAAGACTTATATACATACGGACGGTGTAATGAAGACCCCGTAGTGATTTATACTGGGAATTCCCTCGCGTACAATTCGATCTTGACCCTCCGATCGAGCTAAACCGCACCGAACAATCTCAAAAATAATGGTTCACGGGATTGAACCCGACGTGAATCGAACACGCAACCTTATGATCTGAAGTCAGACGCGCTACCATTGCGCCACGGATCCTTGTTGAACTTGCATAGGAAAATATTCTAAAATGACATTCTGTTATTGCGAGAATTTGGGTGATTATCTGGAGTACAAACAAGTAGTTTTGCTAAACCATGAATGCAAATGAGCTTTATCACTATTCTCGATCTCTTCTTCTCTTTGTGTTTAGACACCTTATTCTTCTGCAACAACATAATGTCATCATCGTCTTCAACTCCATCACTGGACTTCTGCAAAACCATGCATATATAAGAAAGAAAGAATAGGACTCCTTTATCTTCTGTTCATACCCAACCAACTCATGCTCGCTTCTAAAACCCTATTCTTTCTTTCCTATCATTTTTCTCATCTTTTTCATTCATCACTTCATAATCATCTTTCATATTTATTAAGACTTATATACATACGGTGTAATGGAGACGATCCGTAGTGATGATTTATACTATTATTAATACTCCATAATTACACAATAATCACTATTTAATACACTCATTTAATTTAGCAATAAGATGAAATGGTTAAAGTACTTGCGAGATCCCTGTACTATAGCGTTTTGTTCAATTTAGTCCTTATACGTTTATTTTGTTTAATTTATTAGTCCCTGTACTTTCAAAAGTGGTGCAATTAAGAACAACAGTTAATTAGGATGTCAATATTATCGTTAACTTAGGTTACGTGGCGCCGATGATATTTATATTCCTACTCATATATTACTTTATAAATATTTAAAATTTATTAATTTTACCACTAATATATTAAATTAGTATGTCCAAAATAAATAATTACGACCATGTTCGTAATGAGATTTGGACAATTGTCCTTAGTTTTATCACTTTTTAAAGTATAGGGACTAAATTGAATAGAAAAAATGTACAAGGACTAAATTGAACAAAACACTATAGTACATGGACTTTATAGGTACTTTGATAGGATCAAATAGACCATTCAACTATAAGACAAAGTGTAATTAGTCCCATAAATTAACAAAAGCTCTCATCTCTTTATTTGTATGCAATTAAGTCTATAACTTTTTAAATTTGTGTAATTAGCTCAATTTGTAGGTAACCAATAATCATAAGGTACTTAGCACGTAAAATTGATTTGTTTAAAAAAATTACAAAAAAATAAAAATAAAGATAAATTAAAAATTACAAAAAAATAAAAAGATAAATTGGCTGGGTGGCCCTCTTTTCCATCCAACTGTCATGGCCGGCTTCTACGCCCAACTAGCATTGTGTACGCGCGATGCACGAAAATTCATGTCCAATATTAAAACATTGATAAATTCAAATAATTAAAAAATTATAAATTGAATGATATATATACAAATAATATATGTATTTTGTACACACATATATAATTTATCATTCATAGAAATTTAATTAAAATATAATTATGTATTAAATTAATATATAATGATTTTAATAAAATGATAATTAAAAATAGGAAAAAGATATGATAGATATAAGTGTATGGTAATAATGATGTGTTATTAAAGTTAGAATTAAAACTAACGGTGTTATAACGGTGTAAGGATAGTCTGCCTAATAACATTAGAATGTACAACATTTAAAGTAAAATGTACACATTTATTTGCATACAAAAAGAGGGACATAAATCAAGGATATAACTTTCATTGAGGCTTATTATGTTTTTAGATATATATATATATATATATATATATATATATATATATATATATATATATATATATATATATATATATATATATATATATATATATATATATATATATATATATATATATAGAGAGAGAGAGAGAGAGAGAGAGAGTTGCACTCGGGTGCGAACGGCTCGCCCAGGCGCGAAATAGGAATGGATTCTGTTCGTCCACGTGTCCAGATCTAATGGATGAGAAACACTGATTTTTTTTAAAAACGCGGTGGCATTTTCGTAAATAATTGAACATCGAAGTGCAAGTAAAATGTATTACAAGTGCATGTAAAATGTATTATAGGTGCAAGTAAAAATTTACACTGAGCATCAATACTTAGTTGCACTTATAATTCTAAGTAGTTGCACACATAGGTATAAGTAGTTGCATCTAGGTGTATGAATGTTTGCGAGTGGTTTTCAGGAGTATTACTACCCGCTGAACTCAGATCAATGAATGTTAACAAGACAAAATTACATGCACTTATAGGTGAAAGTAGGTGCACATATAGTTATAAGTAGTTGCACCTATAGTTATAAGCACACCCAGGTGCATGAATGGTTGCGGAAAGTGAATGCTAACAAGGCAAAATTATATGCACTTATAGGTGAAAATAGGTGCACTTATAAGAGATTTTACTTGCACTTCGATGTTCAATTATTTACGAAAATGCCACCATATTTTTTTTAAGTTATTAGATCTGGACACGTGTCACGCGCTGATTCGTTCGCATTTTCTTCCTGGACACTTATTCGCACCTGAGTGCATCCCTACATATATATATATATATATATATATATATATATATATATATATATATATATATATATATATATAAAAGTTTAGTAGGGGATCTGGCCAATATAATTGAACTTAGCTCATCATCTTTTCATATTAAAATAATGATAATCTATTCACTCGACCACCGCTTTCAAAACAAAAATAATTTTTTAAGTATCACACAACATTTATACTTTTTATTTATACATAACAATTAACATGGATGCATACATAAGCTGCAAAAACATGTACGTATACGTAGGTGTGTTACATTCAAACTCATGATAATATAGACCATGATTTATTAATATAGCATGCATGTATGAATACTTATTCAATATATATATAAAAGTTTAGTAGGGGATCTGGCCAATATAATTGCCCGGAGGAGAATAGTTGCAGATAACAAAGTGTCCGGCACCGTTGGTGCACTTAACCCTAGCGCATCCCAACTTCACCGACTTCCTCCAAACCACCTGCGTGTAGTGCCCGCACGACTCCCCCGCCGGCGCGTTGCAAGAATTGGTGGCGTAGTCATAGTACTTCTGCTCGGCAACCCACATGTCCACCGCCGACTTCCCCGTCAAGGGGCCGCCACCCGCGGCTAAGTTTTCGCCGAAGCCGTACGTGAAGCTTCCGGAGTGGGTGAGGCTGCAGTCTGCGGACCGAATGTTGGCGTAGTTCTGAGCGTACGCTTCCGCCGCCGCATCCCACACCATGGGCCCCACGCCCACGGCGGCGCGAGCGGCGTTGTGGGCGTCCAGGAAGTCTTGTGGTGAGTTCTGAGCATTACAACATAGAGCCATCGAAAACACAAGCATGCATGCAATGAAAGCTGGAATTTTCAAAAACCCCATTTTTGTTTTTTAAATCTTTCTATGAATTGAATGATATGAAGGAATTACCGATATAAAACTATAAAAGAGATGAAGCGATGAAGTATGGCATCAAGGGTTAAGGGTATATATAGGACTATAGCAGCCTAAAATGTCATTATTATTATAGTTCTTGTTGTATGGTTGTTACAGTATTATATAATTTGTAGTAACAAGTTGGATATCGTTTAATCTGTGGATGGAGTGTTCAAACGGTATTCAAAAATTCTCTTTTAATTTTTTGACCAGTGTTTTTCTTGATTAGTTAATTAGAATCAAGACTAATCATATTTGTCCAAGAAACTCTAGGCTTACCAGATCTATAATTAAGCAAATTTAAACTTTTATCATCTTATCAACATCTCATGAATTCAAAAAATTCTCTTTTATACCCCGAAATGCCTGTGTGAGACTATGAGAGTGGGTTGATTCTAGTAATGAAAGGTCACGAGTTTGATTTTTGTCAACACTTTTTCGATCGAGCTCGTTACATGAATTCTTAATACAATTTATCTCTTCTATATAATTTGCAGGCTATTTGTGGTTGCGGATTTCATATGCCATCTAACAAAATCTCTTTTATCATGATTTTCAATTTTTCATAGAAGGATTTGTAGGCGTTGAGGTAGTCTTGCAATTTTTCATAAACCTCCCAAATGGCTAGAGCATAATTATATATCATACTAGAAGATCACAAATTCGATACAATTTTTTATCAATATTCTCTCGGTCAAATGACTCAAGGCTAGCGCACATAATTTTTTTAGTGTGATTTTCCTCTCCTATATGAAAATTTGCAAGCTATTACACTAAAACTTATCAAGATTTAGTCTACTCATATACTCAAATAGTAAATGTGGATTTCTCTAATGACAAAAAAAAACAAAAACAAAAAACAAAAAACAAAAAACAAAAAAAAAAAAAAAACAAAAAAACAAAAAACAAAAAACAAAAAAAAAAAAAAAAAACAAAAACAAAAAAACAAAAAACAAAAAAAAAAAGCAAGATATAATTTAGCAACTAGTTGTACAAATTTCATTCAAGGCCATAAATCAATTTAAACGCATCCCGCATGTGATAAAATTACTTTTTGTATGACACATTATATTAATGCATGATCGATATTAGTATATAAATTAACAAATAAAAAAAAAATATATATATATATATATAACATATCAAGAATAAGGTAACTAGCTAGTTGGTTTTTCTTGTCACTAAAACAAAAGTAATAACACATGAGAAAGAATTATTTCGTGCATATCCTCCGATGGTGGATGGCTATAAATTTCTATTGTCACCTAAAAGAGCATAACGAATGTAAATTGTATATACCAAATAATAAATTATAAATCCAGAAGATTATATTAAAAACTATTTGATTTACATGAAAGTCCGCAACTGCTATCGATTATGTGCTCTAATGAAGACAGCCTTATAACATTAGTTGACCAATGACCACGAGGAGCTAAATAACTCAAAGCGAAAAAATGGCGATAGATTTCCACAAGAAGATTAAAAACTCGATCACAAAAATGTTGGATTGTATATATAATTATATATCTATATTCATCAAATTTGGTCTTGGTGCCATCTTCAACTATATTGATCATTGACTTGGATGGTGCATGCATTGCAATCAACACACAACAACAATGCAACTAACCTCTCTGCATGTCATCAACTCATCATAGCTTTAACAATTCCCAGTTGCATATCTGCCTATGTTAGCAAGATTTGCAAGTCAAATATATACAACTCAATTTTTATATACATTTTTTTTTTTTTGGAAGAAGGGGAAGGGGGATTGAACCCCAGGACCAGGCTAGTGCCCAGTTCTCATAACTCTGTTGAAACTCACAGCATCCATTCTGTCATTCTCAAGGCTATCAAGATTAAAACTCAGGGGTCTTTCGAATTCAATTCAATCACAGATCCTCTTTACTGCAGCCTTGGCCAAGGCATCAGCCATAGTATTCTTCTCCCAAGGGACATCATATTTCCGAGGTATGTTATATAAATGTTACGTTTTTCACACAAAATATAGACACTATGGGTTGGGGGCCATTTAATTTGGTTCTAATATAGGGATAGCTTGGATTATAAAAATATAACACTGTAAAGAAAGGATAAACTTTAAACAAAAAACATAAGTAGTCAATAACAACTAAATTATTAATTTTCAGTTTGTTGTCTTAAAATATACATCAAGTGATCATTTAATTTGATTCTTATTTTAGTAAGATTACCATGTCATTTAGATTTTATTAACTTAATATTAATGATCATGCGAAAACAGGGGTGCAAAAACAATTCAATAGCTCAAGGAATGGGTGTATGGACTGTGGAGATATTGGAAACTGTTGATCGACAATCTGTTTCAAACTCTACAAAATCAGCATTTCTTTCTTTAAGCCAGCTTAATGCCTCCCAGGTTGCCATAGCTTCCGCCTCATTCCTTCCAGCGCGGGTTGCCATTTCCTCCTCTCCACGGCACGGCACACTCCGCCCAGGTAATCCCAACCCAAAATCAAATCATAATTGTTGCTGGGAGAGAGCATAATTATTTCCCAAAACCAAATTAATCACAATTGTTGAATGTGATTATTTCAATTCACACCTTCACGTTTCTAGCGTACCACAGTCTCCAGCATATGACAACAAGGTTGCAATGTATAGCAAAAGCTCTTGATATCCAATCTGTAAAAGAGTGATAGCCCCCAAACTAAAACTAAAACTAAAGGGACTTCCAAAATCAAATTCCACCAAGCTCTAGCAATATCACTGTACTATCAACAAGAATATGCAAAATATATTCATCTGCATTCAAACACATAACCAATTCATTTGATTATTTATAATAGAGTTAACCAATTCATAAGTGTCCAATAAATAAAATAAGTTGTGATTTGTGAAGCCACACCCCAGGACGGACCCAGCATGGGGGCAGTGGGGGCTATTTATAATAGAGTTAACTAATTCATAAGTGTCCAATAAATAAAATAGGTTGTGATTTGTGAAGCCACACAAGGGCGGAACCAGCATGGGAGTAGCTGCCCCCCTCACCCAGTGCCGTCCCTGGCCAGGGCATACGCACAGGGCCCCCAAATCATCTAAAAGAATATGTATATATTACGGATTTAGTACACACATTTCATAGTTTTGTTGCTGTTTGGGGGCACTTCTATAAAAAAAAAAAAAAAAAAAAAAAAAAGAGTATATATTTGTGTTTTATATATTAAATTATTAGTGTTGGTATAACTTATGTATAAATAAATTAAGACGGTCTAAAATTTTACAAAGTTTACATCCCTAATTCTTAAAGACTTGATTTATGTATAGAGTTATAGTCTTATAACTTAAGGAATTGAGGTGTGCCTATTTGAATATTGTAAAAATTATTATATGTAAAGAGTAAAAATTACTCATATTCCAATTATATTGCATATACGCATGATTTAATTTGTATTCACAACGGAGGAATTCCGTCTCAGTAATCATTAATTTGAACTGCGTTGTTTGTGCATTTGACATCCTCAATTTTTTTTATAGATTATTATATATTTTGGTACAATATAATATATCTTTATTTGACTATAGTATATTTTTGTTACTTAAAATAATATCAGTTAGTCATTCTCTTCCTTCTATTTTTTGTTTAGACTTTTCCTAATATAAATTTTTTTTGAAAGTTCCTAATATAATTTTTAAGTAATCAATTTCAATACTAATATACAAATCTTATAATTTCAAATAAATATATACTTTCAAATATTAGAATTGTTTATAATTTCATCATTAATTTTATTATTTAAATATTTAATAAAAAAAATTATCCATGTATCGCACAGGTAATTTACTAGTTTACAATTATACAAAAAGGGGTCCATGTTAAATTTTCGCACAGGACCCAATCTTCTTAGGAACGGCCCTGCCCTCACCCACCCCCACCCCCACTGCACCCCATATATAACGCTTGTATAGTTGTATGTTATAGTTGTATGTATATATGTATATATAGTACAAGTTTTAGTATAAGTATAATAAAATAGATAAAAATTAACAAAAGAAGACTAGATAAGGTAGTAATGCATGTGCTATCTTTCTAAGAAGCTAGGGTTTGAATCTTTCCTCACTGTGTGTAGATTTACTCCTTGCGAAGTGTGTGCATGTTAAATTTTTTATGATTTTTAAATACTTCGTATTAATTAATTGTGAGATTTACACATATATATAACTTTCTTTTATATTAATAATGAGATGTGTTTATAATGTATTTATGACTATACTTTTGATTGCTACTAGCTCTATTACAATGTAGCATCTGTTCATATACTTTCTCAACCTACTGAAACACAAAGAGCCAATAACACCTCCACTGAGGCTCAAATTTACAATCTTCCAAACGGAAGTCCAAACTCAGGTACCATTAGACCACATAGTCCTAGTTATGACTATACTTTTAAGTGTTTTATTAATAATGAGATGTGTTTATAATGTATTTATGACTATACTTTTGATTGCTACTAGCTCTATTACAATGTAGCATCTGTTCATATACTTTCTCAACCTACTGAAACACAAAGAGCCAATAACACCTCCACTGAGGCTCGAATTTACAATCTTCCAAACGGAAGTCCAAACTTAGGTACCATTAGACCACATAGTCCTAGTTATGACTATACTTTTAAGTGTTTTATTTTTTATCAAACTATCTCTTTTGTTTTAATGCGTTTCGCTCTCACTGAAGCCACAGTAACGTAACGTACACATGCAAACTTGTTTGTAAATAATAATGAAATAAAATTTTCTTCTTATATTAACACTAGTTTTTTCTATTTCCAATGTGAAAAATAGATGGAAAACCAGCATACTCAAGACAGTAAATTACAGATTGGAGTAATAATCTTTGATAAATTTGGATAATTATGCATGCTAAAATTATTCGAAGTATGATTCTAACCTCTTCAACACCTATATGCCTG